CGCCGGCCGAGAGAGCAGAACAGAGGAAGGGAGGGAGGGAGGAAGAGAGAGAGGAGAGGGAGCAGAACATACATCACCCGCGCCGCCGGCCGATGCGGAATCGCCGTCGCCGCCGCCTTTGTGGTGTGGTGCGTGAGCGAGGAGTGAGGTGAGATACTGAGATGGGTCAGGTGCGTCAGGCTTCGAGAGTTTTTTTTCCTTTCATTCCCTGGGTGAAGCGGGAGTCGGGGTCATCGAGCGCGGGAGGCGTCCCGCTACCTTTTCGCGTAAAGATAGCGCCAAGCTCGTGCGAATATTTCGAAAATTGGAGATTATTCTACGGGTACAATCATGAGAATATTTTGCAAATTACTGTGCAACCCCATGCGGCATTGCGGGTTACAATGTTTAACAATGTGACTAGCCCAAGATAGAAAAAAAATATTACTCCTACCTATTTTCTAGCCAGAATCAGATCACACTAGAGGAGAGCATGGACCAAACTAGACACATCTAACTCAAACGGAGTAAGGGTCAATGCTTTGTTGGGGTCGGGGCGGGCGACCGCTAACATTAGCCGCCGTCAGGGTGTGGCGCTCGCATCAGCGGGGAGGTCCTAATCCGGGGACAGCCTGTTGTGGAGGTGCTGGAGGGTTGTTGTGAGACGGCGAAGAAGATGTGCGCTCGAGCGACGGCCTCCGTAAGGCGGCGCTCGATGGTGGCGCTGTGAAGCTGGCGGCGGACAGAGCAACCAGCGCACCGAACCTTAACGGTTGTCCGGTCGGGCTAGGTCACTCAAGAAGAGGGCGTCGGCTCATGGTTACAAACTGGGGCGGGCTCGACATCAGACCCAAATCAGTCGTACAACCATATGGATGATTTGTTTCATGTTTTCTTTAGGTAGTCTTTGTGTTTCGTCTGGGACGACGAGGCAGTGGCGTTGCCCTAATGTTGGAATAATGTTCACCCCGCCCTATCCATGTTTCGTTGTGTGCTTGTGTCGGCGGATACGTAGAATCGTGTCTCCGGCTGGTCTTCCGGTTTTGGTCGTATTTGGTTTCCGGTGGACCCGTCTGCATTCAGGCGACTTTCGTGGATTTTGAAGCTTCTACAGACTCTTGTTGGCGTTTTTTCTCTTCGAAGCGGTGATTTGCTTCACAGATCATTGTCGTCGGCATCTCCTGTTTTACATCGACGGTTTCACAATCACTGCTTCTACAAGCTAACTAATGAGAAATTCACTGTTAATGGATAATTTGACAGATTGATAATTCTGAGAGAAGATAGATTTCCTATGGTAAGCTCCCTAGACAACATATTGTCATTAAGATGTCACTCTTGATTTTGCTAAAAAAAATGTTACACTTGAAGATTTTTCATATTGCAAATCCCCGAAGAATAAATAAACAGCAGGATTAGTTATATTTAGTTGTTAAGACTTATACTAGCAAGCAAGATAGCTATGCTTGTGCCAACTAGTAGGAGTAATTTTAAAATTACTACTTCAGGAAGCATTGTATTATTGAGAGAAGACCACTTTGCAATCTTGAACTTTTTAGTTTGTCTAAGAACCAACCATCTTTTAAAAAAAAACACCCCATATATTAATTAATTAAAACAAATGTTCTTACAATCACTCGTTACAGCATACACCACGTAGAACCAACCATCAAGCTTAAACCCGGTTGAAAACCAACCCCGAATTTGAAAGCCATTCAACCATCCCCTCCCACGACTCTGGTTTTGACCCCTTTGACCATACAATCAGCTCAGTCAGCCTAGTGAGGTGAAAAGGTCATCTTTTTTCCCTTATTTGTGAACAAACCGACCGCTCCTCTTCCTCCACCATGGCGGCAAAAAGAGCATGGGAAGATGAGAGAAGTCCGTATTACAACCTCAAATTATCACTAAAGTCGAAAAAACTACCCTAAACTTCGAAACCGTCTACTTGTCAACCCAAAACTCTGAAAACCAAACAACTATCAACCCTCCTGGCTTTCATAGCCTGTTTTTGACATGTGGCGGAGCTATATGTGTTCCTGGGG